CCACGCCCGGCTAATTTTTTTGTATTTTTAGTAGAGACGGGGTTTCACTGTGTTAGCCAGCATGGTCTCGCGATATCCTGACCTCGTGATCCGCCCATCTCGGCCTCCCAGAGTGCTGGGATTACAGGCGTGAGCCACCGCGCCCAGCCTGTTTTCCTCATTTCTAAAGGGATGAAGACTAGCATTGCGACTATGATGTACTATCTGTAGTCTCACATCTAAGCCTAATCAAACCTCATGGCTTAGAAGTCCTCCTATCAATTTTGTCTTTGAGCAACCAAGACAAAGCATTAAAGTACCATGTTTAAGGTTTTACAGTCACTCTGTGGTGGGGCCGGAACTTGAACTGCCAGCTCCAGATTCATTTTCCTTCCACACGCTATCTGGCAGTGAATTTTGTAGGGTTAACTAGAAAACATCAGTAAAAGTACATAGCAAAATATATGTTGCACAGTAGGTACTCAATATATAGTACATTTTATCTTTCCTAAGTAAATTCTTCCTTTCTCTTGAATGATGATCACCACACAGTTTTTATTCTCTGGGAGGAAAATTAGGACTCGGGAGAAATATCAGTCTGGGTTGAATAAATAAAGAGCAAGCCACAGCTGGATATGAATGTGGATTATGATACACAGACTACAAACTTTCAAGTGACAGCCAAGAGTTCCTTCTTACCGATGTGTGCTATCTTAGTAAACTTCACTCCCAATTCTTTCATTTTTGAAGAAAAACATTTCCAGCTAATAACACAATTACACTTAAGTATCAGAGCCCATTTGAGTATTATTGCATTTGTTAAATCTAACTAAGTCCAAATTACTTCCTCATTGCTAATAAGAGAAAGAGAGGGAGGAAGAAGAGGAGGCAAGAACTGAGGGGAAAATAGTTTCGGAGGGTTAAAGGAAGAAAAGAAGACCCATACACACAGAATACTAGAGAGAAAACAGTGAGCTATCAATGCTGCATATAGCCTCCAGTCCAATAAATGTCAGTTAAACTTGCTGCTCACAGTTTCTATGGAAACCCCTTAAGTTAGGAGTGGAACACAGACATTTTTTGGACTACAATTCACAAGCTGTTTATTTAATTATGATGAAACATGAGACGGTTAGGGACAATACTATTATCATACTGATAGCATTTAGAATTCAACAAATAGGTATGGCAAAATAAAAAGTTGATTTCTTTTTTTAAATCATTAACTCCATGTGCATTGCATGCGAATAAAACTCATCTTGTTTTTTTTTTTTTTAATGGGACTTCACACATTATTTCCTTCAGACGAACCCCAAATTAGTCAAATTTGACATTCATTAAAAGGGAATTCTTCAGAGGCCTCATGCCAATTCTACCCCCACATGCCCAGTGAACAAAACCAAGGTCACAGCATATTTTCAATTAAACCCAAGATAGCACCAAAGTGCAGCACAGCTGGGAAAATAAGCACATTATTGCCCCATAGATCATTTGTGAGCAATGAATAGGTCTCTGGTGTTTTTCTGTTTTATAGGTATTTGAATATAAAAATAAAGAAAATAGCTTCAGATTAGCTTTTGCCTTCCAAAATAAACAACTACTTTTAGGGCATTACTCCTGGGGGTCTGAAGAAACATGATGTGAAGCCATCACTGTTCTGTCTCTGATGGTTGAAAATCACTTGCTTAGGTATTAATTTGGCTGCAGGAAACCATCTAATTGATGCGCTCATTTGCACCTTTGTTTTTTCATTAGACAAACATGTAGTTTTCCTCCTATTATGTGACAGTCACTGTACCAGGGACAAGGGAGACAAGAAGGTTAAACTCCAGTTCCTGCCTTAATAATAATAAAGTTTTTGGAAGGAAGTGCATTAATTTTGTCAAATATTTATAAAGGGCCAACTACGGCTCATAGGTACTAAGTAGCTAAATAAGTTCGAATCCTGCCTTCAAGGAGATTACAATTTAATGACGATACCATAAATCATAGAGCAAAGAGTCAGTGTTCCTGCCTCCTGCTACCTCCTCATCTTATCTCTCTGAAGAAAGGACTACCACTCATGGGAACTATGCTACACAAGGTAAATACGTTTATGTGTATGGGATGGTTTGCTGGTGGATGGTGGTGTAAAGCGGGAGCTTCAGAAATATTGCCACGGGAGAACCACATTTCCAGTTCTGTCCATAAGCCACTAATACTCTTATAAAATATTTAGCCCATAAAATATGACTGAATGAGGAACCACTCACCAGATAAGTGAATCCCAAGGAAAGTCATCTCTCGAGTCAAGCAGGGAACATGAGGCTGTTTCTAAAGTGGCAAAGAGAAACACAAGAAATTTGCAAATATGACTCAGTGGATATGTCTTTTCTACTATATTGCAGCTTTGTTTTTGAAATTCAGTAGTGGTTTGCAGTAGCTGGACTTCCCACAAATCACTCGTGCTAGCAAAACCAGTCATTGCCATTATCAGATTTGACAGTGTTTAATGAGTCACTTCATATTAGCTGCAGTTGTAGTGTTCAGCATACTGTGGGAAAGATTTAGTATGAATCATCACCCACCTAGCTCTCCACTGGGGTCTCTATGCTGTAAATAGGCAGTGCGTTTGCCAATCTAAAAAAAAAAAAAAAAAGAAAGAAAAAGAAAATAAAAGCATCCATTAGAATAATTCAGGACAATTCTTGATCTGCCACCACCACAACCACTACCACAGACACCACTGATGACATTTATTGAATTGCCACTGTATTTTAACACTATCCTGGGCAGAAAGCCAAAGCAACTCTCTTAACTACTGGCCATTTTGAACAATACATTTTGTAATGCCAATAAAAAAATGCATTTGGATTCAGAAGAAATGTAGTCTATACTTGGTTCTGACTTATTAGATACATGACCTTAAGTAAGTCACGTTTTCTCTCTGATCTAGTGTCCTGATCAGAACCGCATCATAAGATTAAATCAGATAATGCATTATAATGATGGATAGGAAACAGTTAAATAGAAAACTCAATTATTAAAGTCAAATGGGATGTTAAGAGTTTGACACAGGCATCTGCTGCAAACTCTATTTGGGATTGCCCACCACCAACACCACATCCCCAAACAAGAAAGATATAAAATATTTCCTCGCCCTATACATCTCTCATCTCACCCCACTACTCCTGTAGCACTGGCAGAATAAAAATTAGAATCTGAGACTGAGGGAATGTACAGTACTTAAAGCAAAGGGATCCTAAGAGATAGAGCTCACATTTTACAAAGTATGATGAAGTAAAAGAAACTTTCTGTAATTCCAACAAATGCAGGTCATCCAACATTGGAAATATAGTTGGTATGGACTGTACAAAGAGGAGACCCAGAGCAACTGCAGATAGAAAGATCCCTCACAATTAGTAATCAAGATCAAGGGACTGACATGGATATTAAAATCACCAAGAAGCCTATCAAGTGTTAGTATGGAGAGAACAACAGGGAGGCAGATGTTAAAATCTTCAAGGGACAAGGAGGAGTGAAGCCCACGGCTATGGCTGACTCCAACAAAAAGTTGTTAGCAGGTGGTATAATCTGATGGTGTAAGCTTCACAGCTGGGCATTTTACTGTATTAGATGATTTTGTTTGGAACAGACAAGGTAAATAAAAATGCTTTTTGAATGTCATAGCAATATATCACTAATGAATGTTCTTATTACATAAGTAAAACTGAATATGATCAAAATTTATTTTAGAGATGATCTGTGGATTTTCTGTCCATAGGTTTAAAATAAATGGATAACTCAGCCAGGCGCAGTGGCTCACACCTGTAATCCCAGCACTCTGGGAGGCCGAGGTGGGTGGATTACCTGATGTCAGGAGTTCAAGACCAGCCTGGTCAACATGGTGAAACCCTGTCTCCATTAAAAATACAAAAATCAGCCAGAATGGTGGCACCGCCTGTATTCTCAGCTACTTGGGAGGCTGAGGCAGGAGAACGGCTTGGACTTGGTAGGTGGAGGTGGCAGAGAGCCAAGATCATGCCACTGCACTCCAGTCTGGGTGACACAGTGAGATTCCAAAAAAAAAAAAAAAGAGAGAAAAAAAAATCTCAAACTTATAAAATGTTTTCCCATATCTCATGGTTTCAAGAAGTATTAACTACTCTTCAACAGGATATATGAAATATGAATCGGAATGTAAAGTGCCTGAGATTTATAACTTTAGAGGAAGGCCATAGGTAACAATTAGTGCGTTACAGAGGCAAAGAAAAGGTGGGAGGTGAAAACATGTTTATTGCTAAATCAAATAGACAGTTCTCAATTTTCATATTAGGCAAAAATTATTAATGTTTGACATAATGATCACTCTGTCCTTTATGAAACACCTTTTTCACTTGGCTCCTATGAAACAACTCCCTTGCTTCTCCTCTTGCCTCAGTGATAACTCTGCTCAACATCCACTGCTAGTTGTGTCTTGTCTCACAGGCCAATGAACCTTGGAGTGCCCCAGGTCTCAAATCAGTGGACCTCTTATTTATCTATACGCACTCTCTAGGTGATCGTATAATGCTTTTAAACACCATCTATAAACTGAAGACCGCCAAACTTAAATCTCCAGCAGACTCGCAGACTTGTATGTACTACTGCTTATTCAAGACCTCTACTTGGAGGATTCAAAAATCAACCTGTCTACAGTCAAACTCTTCATTTTGATTTAACCCGACAAAGACTTTTTCTAATGGCAGTTGCATTCATTCATTCATACAACTAAACATTTTAAGCTCTTACTGTGTGCCAAGCACCATTTCAGGAATGATTTTTCTAGTAGCTCAGGCCAATGTCTACCTTGAAACTTTTTTTTTGGTCTCATACCCTCTCTTTTTGGATTGTATCACCTCTATACCTTATCACCTTTATATCCTATCACCCATGTATTGGAAATTCTGTGTAGCAGTATTCTGGTTTTTTCTCCAAACACATCTATTGCTTTGTCTTGGTCCAATTTCTATCTGGATAACTGGAGTATTCCATAGCCTCGTCCAATATCTGAGTTTCCTGCTTCTAATTTCTCCACACAGTGGAGGGATCCTATTTGAATTAAAGTCAGATCATATTCCTTCTCAATGCTCAATGGCTTCTCACAACACTCAGAGTAATATTAAAGTCCTAATGGCCATTCATTTTTTTTTTTCCTGCATCTCTCCTGTTTGTTTGATCTCATTTTCCTACAACTATCACTCATATTCACTCCACTCTGACCACCACACTGGCTCCTGATTGTTTCTCCTGCAAACCAAGCATAGTGCTTTCTCAGGAACCCCGCACATGCTGTTCGTCTGCCTGGAATGCCCTTCACCCAGACAGACGTATACCTTTGCCTGCACTCCATGACAATAGTGCCACCTTTCATGCAAATACCTGTATACTTTGCTTCTTCACTTCCTTCAGGGCTCTGCTAAACTTGCTCAGAGAGGTCTTCCCTGGTTATGCTGCTTAAAACATAACCACCCTTGTCCCCTCATCATTCTCTGTCCCCTTATTCTGTTTCATTTCTGTTGATAAAACATCTCAAAAGTAGAGATAACATGTACATATTTATTTTCTGTCTCCTCCAACTAGAATATGAGTTCCCAGGATATGGAGTTTATATGATTTGTTTATTGATGAATCTCCAAAAGTAGCCCGATTTTATAGGCGAGGAAACTAAAGCTCAGAGAGATGAGCACCTTCCTTGAGGGCTTTTCTGGAGAAAATGGGGATTACTAAGTAGGAAGGAGAGTACAAACATGGGGGTGGTAACGATAGCTAGATCAGAGCTGTAAAAAGTACAGCAGTTAAGTTAATAAATTCTATCACCAGAGATAGTCATTTTGTGACTTGCGGGAAGTTATATAAATTTTTAGGTTTCAATTCCCTCATCTGTAAAATTAGAGTGATCATAATAGAGTCAACTTCAAAAGGTTGTTCTAAACTTGAAATGAGATGATACCCATAAATCAATAAGCCTGGCATGTCATACATTCTCTAATAATGGGAATTATTATTATCTGAGAGTTAATTTCTTTGAATTGTAGGTATTTTTCTAAATTCTCCTTCATTAAAAAAATGCTGAACATAATTATCCATCTGCTACCAGCAGACCCTTCATTCATTATTTATTGAGCACTGCTCGAAACACTTACAAATGGCTAAACAACTCATCTACTTTTCTAAAATGATTATTTAAGGCCAAATGTGGTACTCATCCACGAATGTATTATTAAGCCTGGACTTGGGAAAATACAAATCAAGGTGATTATCCTCCTTGATCTTTTACATAGCACTTTGTTGAAAGGTCTTGTTGAAAACAAGGCTGGTAATAAGAAAGATGATGATGAAGATTGTATTTTTTGTTAATATTATAAATTATAATTTGAAAAATTGTTTCATGTGTATTATCCTATCTGACCCTCAACAAATATAGGAGGAAGGCAAACGAGATTATAATTTTCATTTTGCAGTTAAGAAAGTTAAAGTATAAGAAAGTTAAATAATGTTGTTAAGGTTTAAAAAAAGCCCTAATATGTGATGAGTTAATATAAGAAGTCAAATATTTGAAGCCTTAGGCTAGTTATCTGCCTATTACACAGTCTTTTAACACAAGGTAAACAGGAGGTATTTTCTGCAATGAATCCTTCCAGGTTGTTTAAATTTATAGAGACTCATTCTTCTGTGTTCCTTTAACACATTGCACTTCTATGTCCAATGTGAGAAGAAGGGAAAGAACATTTATTGATCAACTATCAACCAGTGTGCTGCTTTTCTATCTCGTACTTGCTTGCTTATGTGTCTTTCTGACTCATTAGACTGCATGCCCCACTGGGACAGCCAACATAATCCATTCCATGGGCATGCATACACCGCAGTAACTGCTGTGTAATATGTGTTCAATAAATGTTTCTTGAATAAGATAATGAAATAGTTTATTTGGTGAAATAAGCTTACATATAGAAAAAAGCAACTAAAGCATATCCCAAAATTTAAACTATATAATCAATTAGCATGATTACAGAGAATCTCATCAACTTGTCATCTCCTAGGTCAAAAACTGGTGACTATCAACAGTTTTATGTGGTTCAAAACAATAGTTTCCAAAGAGAAATAATGATTTTAGAAATGCCCAGTTGGCCAATCAAATTTCTAGGATCTGTGGAAATCCTTTTTGGCTTATGTCTAGTTACATAAATTTTGATGTCCCAACCAAGGGGGAAAAAGCCAATACTTTTATTTCAAAGTAAATTCTTCTAACCTCAAACATTCAATTTGTGAATGGGTAATTAAAATTAAAACTGGAACAGTTCATTCAGTTACTGAGTTATAAAGGGGTCTTATCTATTGATTACCTATAACAGGGTCTACAAGCTAGAGCAGAGAATTCATCCATTTGCCTTACCATAGCTTAAAATCCAGTCATGCTGCCATTTGTACAATACGGAAAGATAAAGTGTCCATACTGTTTTCTCTAATATAGCAGTTTAAATATTACCACTTCTCAACAGTTCTCACTTACTCCTTTCTCACTTAACTTGCTCACAGAAAAAAATAAAAACATTTTATTATTATTTTTTCCATGGTGTTTGCTTCATTTTGATATTTAT